GAGGGGAGAGCTAACCCCTCCAATTTCTGCTTTGAGATTCAGGTTCCAGGTAACTACATACCCTTTCACTAAGAGCACCTGCAAACACATAAGCCCATAGACTATTATGTTGACTGTATTGTATGTAATTGGCCACAGTCATTTGTTTTTAACCAAGTCAGAAATAGCTCCAATATTTAAGATGGGGGGTGTCAGCCAAGTGGGTGAGTGTCACCCTTGCCCATAGCTCCCTGCTTAGTTTGTATGTGTGCCTAGAAGTGCCAGCACCGGCGCTCTGAAAACAGTGTGGGTGGGATTGTACCTCAGTGAGACCATGAAATAGGGGTATTAAGATGGCCATTCTTCCATTTAACCAGATATGCTGAGCCAACAGAATCTGTGCTAGTTCATTCCAGGGTTACCTGCCCAAGGGAAATACTCAAAAAATTAGGGAAAAAAATATAAACTAGTTAGGAGCTAAGTTAGTCAAACAGTGGTGTGACATTTGGAGATGAACTGAGGAGCAAAAAAGATGAAGCAAAGGATGAAACCAGGATTGACAGAGACAAGCCAAAGCACACATGGGCTGACATGTAATTTATGTACCAAAGACTTCCCTTTAGTGTGTTCTCCTTGGGTAGGTCTTTGTGTGCTTCTCCCAGTCAAGGACATATTTTTAAAGACAACAAAAAACAATGAAGAAGCAGAGCCAATACAATCAGGAGCCAATAAGGACATTTAGGTGAATGACAGACATATACGAAGGATGGTGGTCTGTAAGATTACAATGAAGCTGAAAAAGTCCTATGGCCTAGTGACATTGTAGCCTTCTTAAGGCCTTAGGGCAATGAATTACTGTTTTGTGCAGGTCTCAGTCTTTGGATAGTAAAACCATCTGCTAAAAATGCCTGGGGCACTCACCTGGGGCCCAGTGAGCCTCCCACAGACATCTCCCTTTTCTAAACCAGTGTTAAAACTGGGCCTGACTCTTGTGGTTCTTATGATTGCAAGATGCCTTCAGCAATACCATTAGAAAACATTAAAGAAAAAAAGAGTTTATTCCCTATAGGCCCTGGAGCATACAAGGCATGCCAGAGGGTAGACAGTGGGGAGAAAGAGCCCAGTGAGTCAGCTGGAGCCAACACAAGCCTGGAGTTCTGCTTTTGTTGGGGTTCAGCTTGGGGACTTAGGGTTTCAGGGACTAACTCTTTTTTT